GAGAGAGAGAGAGAGAGAGAGAGAGAGAGAGAGAGAAAACACGTAAGAAAATGCTAATCTCAGCGCGACATATATACGGTTCATGTCCTAGATTACACTTACTTACTGTCTCCTGATCCTTATGTTGTACATAGATAAGATCTGTGACTATCGTAGAGTACGTGAAAGAAGTAGTGTAAAGGTATTTTGGATTTGTTGTACAATTCAGATAAATTCAATGTACATAGAAATATTCGTCTAAAATAATTTATTTTACTCGTGGTCTTAAAAGAGACGTATGCGAATTCCCTGATTCGTATTCGGATATCACAACTACGACTTTTTATGTGATATCAAATTAAAAGTGATGCAAAAATCTGTAAAAATTATTTTCTATGAATGTTTGATCATCTTGTTCTCAAATCTTATGGCAGAGGATAGCTGCTATCAAATATTCATTTTACTATAGAATCAATACTTCGGATGACCAAGTATTCATTTATATGATCAAGTATTCATTGTAACAAGACTTTATTATATGAGCATAAGTCATATTTATGTATAGTTGCATAGTTATGGATAGTTTCATCTTTGCAAAAAATTAAAATCTGAACGTTGTAACAGGAAGTTACATATAAACATGTAAATAGATTTTTTACTTCTCTCTCTCTTTCTCTCTCTCTCTTACACACACACGCACGTTCAAATTTATAATTTAAATTTATTTAAAAAGATGTTATATGATATAAAATTAATTGTAATAAGAAATCAAATTTATAGAATTTTAAGTAAAAATTGTCTGTAAAACTTTATGTTACCAAAGAAAATTCAACATAAATCGATAATCTAGTAAGTAATTGTTAGTTTGTTAATTGTTACCTCTTATAGAATTTAATTATACAAGATTTTTTCTTAAGACTAGTTTTTCTCGGTCTATAAGCCATTTTGTAAAATTATTTTAATTTTATATACACATATAATTTTTTCAAAAAATGTTTGGAAAAAGACTAGTAAGTTTTTTAATATTAACTTGTACGAACATTACAGCAAATACGAAGAACATACGAGATTGCCGAATGCAGCAGTGTGTAAGTACGCCTTTCTTATAACACCGAAGGGCGCCACATATAAGTCAAGATCAAATGATACAAAAATTTCCAAGTATCTGAATAATAAAGATGAATCGATATATAACTTTAAACCAATTGGGTGACGGAACTTTTGGTTCTGTCGTTCTTGGAGAACGTATTGATACGGGCGAAAAAGTCGCTATAAAAAGAATGAAGAGAAAGTATTATTCTTGGGAAGAGGCTATGAATCTGCGAGAAGTAAAGGTATCTTTAAATTTAATAAAAGACTATACAAAATTTTACTATGTGGAGTTTGTACAACAAAATTCTCTCAAAATCATAAAAAAAAAGCAATATATAAAGAACATGTGCTAAATTATAACTGAAATTTGTGAAATATAAAAATATATATAAAAATAACTTTATTGTTTTCTTCCTTTCTCAATTATATATTTTAGTTGCAAATCAACAATTATCGACAAATAATTATGATCATTTTCTCTCTTTTGTCATTGCAGTCATTGAAAAAACTTAGTCACGCAAACGTCGTAAAACTAAAAGAAGTTATACGAGAGAATGATGTGCTGTATTTTGTATTTGAGTACATGAAGGAGAATCTCTATCAACTAATGAAGGATAGGTATATCGATAGCAGTTTGTCAATCGATCTTTTACAGACACTCAAATCATATTTTATTCGAAATTCTTTTCAATCGCAGAGATAAACTTTTTCCCGAGCCGGTAATAAGAAACATGGTGTATCAAGTATTGCAAGGTCTCGCTTTTATGCATAAACATGGTTTTTTTCATCGTGATATGAAGCCAGAAAATTTGTTATGTATGGGTCCTGAATTAGTGAAGATTGCTGATTTTGGGCTAGCAAGAGAGATCCGATCGAGACCTCCATATACGGATTATGTATCAACAAGATGGTACGGTATAATTTTGTATTAGTATAGCTATAACTCGCGGAAACACTGGCTGACAATGAAAGAATTTTATGCAATGGTAATCTACGCGAATAATTCTTGACGCAAATATATTCGATTAATCTCGTTGAATTCGTTGATAAACATCTGTACAGGTATCGTGCACCAGAGGTGTTGCTACACTCAACGACTTACAACAGTCCAATTGACATTTGGGCAGTCGGTTGTATAATGGCCGAGTTATACACATTCAGACCTCTGTTTCCTGGCAAAAGTGAGATCGACGAGATATTTAAAATATGTTCCGTAATTGGTACGCCTGACAAAGAAGATTGGCCAGAGGGATACCAATTAGCCGCGGCTATGAATTTCAAATTTCCGAATTTTACGCGTACGTCGTTGGCTGTTTTAATACCAAATGCCAGTCAAGAGGCTGTCATTCTTATGGAAGATATGTTACAATGGAATCCTATAAAGAGACCAACAGCACAGCAGTCACTCAGGTAAGATGTTTAATAAATCTTTTAAGTAGCGAATAGCATAGAGAAAATAAGTTTTTATGTGAAAAAATAAATAAAACGTATAAAACCAAGCTTATACATTAAAATTAGATATATGCAAGATTATATACATCTTGATTATTAATTTTAGGTATCCGTATTTTCAAGTCGGCGATCCTCGTATCATTAATAGTAAAAAGATTGGTGTTGTATCTCAACGAGAATTTGTTATGAATAAAATAAATCTTCCACCTTCTGCACCTAAACAATATGATTACTCTCAGGATGATCTTGTCGTCAATAGTTTAGTTCAATCGAGGTAAACTCACTCAACACTCTACTGTGATATATATATATATATT